CTGAAAATGCTCCTGTGCCCCGAGGGCACAGGGAAGGGCTCCTGGGGAGGGGGTGGTAGGTGTCACTGAAGGAGCTTTTGCAGGAGTCAGTTGGAATAACAATGGTGAGAGGAGGCTGTAATGCAGATGAGCCTTTTCCTGGTCGAGGCAGGGACACGGAGGGGCCAGAGGAGCCTTGAAATAAGCGGGTGAAAGTCCCAGGGTGTGAAATGAGGGCTGGTCTGGGTGCCTCGGCCAGTTTAATACTGATCAGGACTTTGCCTGAAATTTCCCCTGGTGTTACTTAGACACATCTGCTTTTTCTTTTTTACCTGCCTTTGCTTTGCTGCTAAGTTCCATCTGTCATCCCACCACACAATAGCAGTCGGGTGTTGAGTTACACCAGCCTTCCACCCAGTATGGGGTACACCAGGCTATGGTGGCTGGTCTGTCGTCTGTGGTGTTTCCAGTAGGTGACACTTAACAGCACCTTACAGCAGAGGGTCTCAGAGTGACACATGATGAGCTGAGACACAGCCATTTTTAGAACTGTATTTTTTTGTTTGTTTGTTTGAAAATCAAATTATTAAAGAGACTGTATCAGGTCTGGCAAGTCTACTGAGTCCCTCTGTTCAGCACCGGAACACGCTGTTGACTAAGCTTGCTAAAATAATTTAAAATGAGCAGATTGCATATTGATCTAGTGCTATGTAATTAACCCTCTGAGTGCAGTCAGTACAACAGTGTACAGTTGGCATTGGAGCAGGTAATGCTATTCTCCAAGGGTTAAAATGATTCAGACTTCACAATGGCTCTTTGCAAACTTGTCAGGTTTGTGCACATAGCTTTCTGTCAGTGCTTCTGAAGTTACATTTATACAGGAGAGGAATAAAGAAATAGTTTTAGATCTTCAAAACTAAAACCAGAAATAAAAAATCTACACTAGAAGCAAAACTATCTTAATAAAGGGACTAAACCCAAAGCTGCTCTACAGACTAGTTAGGTTTGGCTTTTTTTTTTTTTTTTAATTTTTAAATCCTTGAGGCATAAACTTGGTTAAAAAGTTACGTTTAACCCAATGTAAAAAATTATGGTTTGTGTTTTTGCATTAAGAAAAAAATATAAAAATAGTTTGTACATTATAAAGGTCATCTTAAATTTCTTGCAGTTCTACAATAATATTACTACATAATTTGTATTCAGTACTCCAAAACCCATCTATCAAGTAGGATAAAAATAGTGCCCCCTCTACCTCTGTGTGGTGTCATTTTTCTCTTCAGCAGTCTGGAATAGATTTCTTTCAAACTGGAAAAAAAGTCTGCACTGGACTAGACTGTGGTCTCTGAGAAGACTGTAAACCTGAAGTAAATCCAGAACTTGGAATTATTTGGGATTTACATCAGTTCATTGAGATCATAATCCATCCACAGTGTTTTTTGTTTATCACTCAAAATATAAATACAAAACCAGAAACTGGTAAACATCTTAAAGCTGGAGAGAATACATTAACATTTGGCATTGTCATTGGGGTGGAGGGAGAATCTTTTAGAAAAAGCTAGAATAAGGTTTTTTAAAAAATTTCTACTGAATCATGAAAAAGAGAGTTCTTATCTCGCCGAGGGTATGTCCAGACAGATGCCCAGAGAGCAGGGCAGTGAGTGCTGCTCTGCTGCACTGCCCCACCACAGGAGAGCTCACACTGCCCTGAGGGACCCGCTGGGCCAGCCTGGTCCCCTGCCCTGGGCTATTGATCCTCTGCCCTGGGCTATTGATCCTCTGCCCTGGGCTATTGATCCTCTGCCCTGGGCTGGTGTGATCCTGTGCCACTGGCCAGCGTGCCAGGGCTGCTGGCTCCCCACATGGCTTGCCCTGCTCACTGCTGTGGAGGTGCAGAGCTCGATCAGAGCCTACAAAAGCAACAGAGCAATTTCTGAGGCTTTGGCCAGTCTGTCTGATGGGATTTCTGACTATCCACATCTGCAGAGGACAATTGCTGACAGCAGGGCAGAGCCTGCACCTGAGCGCTGCCCTGAGCAGCCATCAGCCCTTCCAGCAGCCCGGCTGGTGCTCCCTTTTCTTCTGCCTTGCTGTACAACCCTGCAATGGGACATGTCTGCACAGACATCTGTTACCTGCAAACAACATCCTCCTCTTCTCAAACAAGAAGTTAAAAAAATTCACCTCATTGGTTTAAATATTCAGTTTCTCTTTTACCTGGTAAGATCAGAACGCCGGCATTGCTTCGTTTCCTTTTCAGACATATGGGCTTTTAAAAAATTCTCCTATTCCAGCTTTTCCAGCTCCTTGGTGGAACGGCTGTGGGAGATCTGTGAGTGACTACACTTTCAAGCAGCTCGGAGGGCAGGGAGTGGGAGCCGGGGTTAGACTGACAGCACCTACCACCTACAGCAGCAAGCTGGGGGATACGGATCTGCTCTCCGCCACACTTTGAGATAATGCAGTAAAAAAGAAACCGAAACAAAACCCAAAACAAACAAACAAAAAAAGCATCACAGGGCAGGGACAAAAGGCTTGTTTACTCATCAGCACTTTAAATTTTGGCAAGTACTTAATTTTTTACCTTTTCTTTTGAAATTGCTTTTCTATGTTTATCACCCCTCCCCTCCAAAAAAAAAAACCAAACCCAACCAAGTGAGTTTTCCATCATCCTCAAGTCATCCTGTGGGCAAACTGCGTGTTTTACAGTGAGGTGGGGATTCGGCTGGGCCTCTGGTCCTCGTCCGGGGGCAGCGGAACCGGGCGGGCGAGCGGAGTGCCCGGTGTGGCGAGGGACTATGTCCCCGAGGAGGCGCGGCTGTAGGCGGGGGGCGCGGAGGGGCGGCGGACGGCGGGTCGGGAGGGGCCGGCGGCGGGCGGGAGCTGCGCGGACACGGGGCAGGGGTCGGGCTGGTCGCGGTGCGCGGGGTCGGCGGGGGCTGCGAGCTGCTCTGACGGGAAGGCGGAGGGGATGCATCGGAGTGCGTCCGGTGGGGATGGAGGGGAGTCTATAGCACTTCCATCGGAAGAAACTGGGCTGGCACAGCGTCCTTCTCCTTGTAGGTACCGAATGCACTTCTTTTTCCTCCTGGAACAGCAGAGAGAGCTCTCTGTGAGCAGCGGGAGGGTCCCGGCGGATCCGCCGGCCCCTTCTCCCCGCGGGGCCGGGATGGCGGCGGCGCTGCAGCGCTGCGGGGACACCGCCAGGCGGCGCCGGCGGGCCGGGAGCGGGGCCCGCGGGCGGAGGAGGAGGAGGAGGAGGCGGGCATGGGACAGAGTAAACATCAACGTGAAAAGAAAAAAAGAAGAAAAAAAAAAAGAAAAAAAAGACCCCCTCCCCCATATTAATAATTATTGAAGCCATGAAATTAAAATAATAATAAAAAAAGTGAAACAATACAATTTAAAAATAATAATGTAAATAATAATAAACATCCCAAATATTAAAAATAAAACAATCCAAAAGAATAATAAAAATCCAACCCATGTGGTCATTCCTCACCAGCCACTACCCCAATTGCTTGAATTCTGTGTGGGTGCCTGGCTCTCACAAGTTCAGGACTAAAGCATTCCCCTCTCCCTTTGGAATCTACAGCACCCTGGAATGTTTGTCCAGGGTATGGGGAAGGAGTGTGAAAGCTCTAGAGCAGGAACACCCAATTTTAACCAGTTAACCTCTCCCGTGGAGTGAAAATCCTCCAGGGGAAGTTGTTCTCCACAGGTGAGCAGAGCACGCCGGGCAGGAGCCCCTGAGTGGCAGCAGCGCGTTAGTAGAGAATTGCAGAGCAGCTCTGGCTGAGCAGGGCTTGGTTACACGGGGTACACAGGAAAAGCATGCCAAGGGCACTCCTGCAGCCTGTGTTAATGGGGAAGCCGTGCAGAGAAGCTGAGTTCAGTTCGATTGGAGGCAGAGGGAAGGTAGAAGAAGTGTCCATGGAAGAGCAGGGCACTCGGCCTGGCAGCACACCTGCAGGGGGCATGGGACACCCCAGCAGCCCCCTCTGGACGTTCAAGTATTAACCAGACAGTAAGGGAGCTCTGTCTGTGTTCTTAATCTATAATGATACTACCCAGGGAATAAAAGGCAAACAGGGAGCTCTGCTGTTGTGGCACGTTGAGGTGCAGGAGGGGAGCTCACATGAGGCTCAGCCACAGGGACTGGAGCTTGGGGTGCAGCAAGGTATGGGTCAGACTTGGTTCAATTAAATGATTTCAGTCACTTCAAGCTGAAGGGAACACATCAAGCAGTACTTTACTTCCACCTTTTCCCTCGTGCATTGGTGTAAAACGCAAATTACAGATGTCTGTCTAAGCTGGAGTCTCTCTGTGCTCCGGCGCCCAGATCCAGAAGCTCCCAGGAGCTTTCTCTGCCTGGCTGCCTTTGCAGCCCCCTGAGCCCAGCAGCACTTGGTTGAAGTGAACTTTACTATTTCTTGACCAAATCCATCTTCGGGAGCCTGAGGAGCACAGCACTGCTCTGTTTTGCTGCTTGAGGCTGTCCCACCCCACCCGTGGCAAGTAATGCAAAATTTCAGGATCAGGAAGAGCTGGATCTTGAAATACATGGTTAGCCCAGTATAAGTAGGAAAAAACCCCATTAAATTCTCACTTGCTGGCCCTAGGGTGCCACTAATGTGATTGGAAAGCACGAATGGAGGAAAAAAAAGCCTCATGTAAGTGTCCCAGAGGTCTCCATCCTGGAAGTAAACTTTTAAGACCAGGGAAGTCTGTCAGCTGAAGAATATGTACAGCACTAAACCAACACTGCCCCAGAAGGGCTAAAAAGCCCAGAGTACAGCCTGACCCTTGCAGCTGGGAAAAGTGAGGATGCCCAGAGCACATTCCATCCCTGCTGGATGGAGCAGCCCCCGCTGGTGCCGGGATGCTGCAGGAGCACACCTGGAGCCGAACCCTGTCCCAGGAACACCCAGCAGCGAGGAGGAGATGCCGATACACACCTGCACGGGCCGCACCAGTCCGTTTGTTGGTTGAGGCCAAAGCGAGCTCTGCATTTCTTAGGAGAGGCAGGATCTGAACACAGAAGCATGCGCGGCCAGAATGGGCAAGGCAGAGGCACAAAGAGGAGAGCAGCAGGAGGAAGAAAAGAGGCAACATCATTTTAGCCACTTCAACACACGACTAACAGACTACAATCCCATTATTTTCTGCTACAGAATACCGCTGGCACCACCTGGAAAAAAGTGATCGTTAGGCAAATATCAGTGATCACTGCCGGCAGCTGAAGGTGGTTTGGGAAACAGCTTTGAGAAATGTGGGCAATTACGGGGAAATTCACAGCTCTTCAAATTTCTGAAGTCTGGAAAAGCTGCCAAATCCCGGAGGCGATGCCTGACTCCTGTATCTGCACCCTCCTGGCTCCCTGCCTGCCCAGCAGTGTCTGCACACGGAGAAAAGAGGAGGAAACGTCGCAGAAGCAGGCTGAAAGCAGAGTTAGCACCAAGGAGACCTAGCCCAGGTATTCCACTCTGCCCCCATCATACCCCTTCCAGTTTTAATGGAAAAGCTCTCCACCGCCTTCCTAAAACGTTACTGTTTTACTGTGTAATTACAGGACTCATTAGGGTGAAGCCCTGTTTGCTTTCTGGCACATAGCGTTTTTCTCTGCTGTTGTGAATGAGATTGGAACAGCACATTTCTGTGCTGGATTCAGCCTCTCTCTTTCAACCACAATCAATGTCTCGTTGTGTACAACCAGTAGTTGGTTTTCAATCTATAACAGGCAAAATTATCATTTTTGTATCACACAGACAAGACATATATATGGATATATAAAAATATACAGTGCACTCCACATAAAGGCCTAAAAGCTTGTATTCTTCTTATCAGACTCGGCACTGAATGAGATCAAGTGTTAATTAAACTGAAGGCATTACTGGGACACATCTCTTGATAATGATTCCCTTTTAAACTAATATTTATTGGTACAGGTAATATTTATTCCTGATGTGGCATAGTACTTCAGAAGTTGGCACATGAATAGCCTTGAATGATGGGAATGTGTCTGTGACCAGCTGAAATCTGACAAAATGGCCTTTTCTAATGGGCAGGGTGCTACAGGGAGGTGGGGTTTAGTATGACTTTGCTTCAACTGTACATTACTTTTAAATGCCAACCAAAGTTGGAGTAGTCCCATGAATGATCTTCAGTCCTGCCACTACATTTCATCCCACACACAATATGGATGCATTTGAGAGGAGTTTTCTTTAGTTAATATCATCTGTAGGTCTGATGGGGACATTCACCTTGGATGTTTTCAATAGACAAAGTTCAGTGATAGTTTGTATGAAGTTATACATTTGCCAAAATCCAATCTTTTCAGTTTTCACACACTACCCATGTTCTAAACCAAACACGTCTATTAAAAAGTCACAGAAATGTTAATTTACCATGGCTGAAAAAAATAATGAATGGGTATTTCTGTAGTTAAGCTCTGGAGAATAAAAGCAAACATGGTAAAACACAACAACTGCTTTGGATTCTCCCATCTGAGCAGGAAAGCAGGAACAGCTGCCAGGCTGCACGCACTTACCCGAGCTGGAATCCTGCTGCTTTTCCCGTGTTCGTCTCTTCTTTTTCCCCTAGGAGATCAAAGGAAAGGCTGTTACCTGTGCTCCAGAAAACCGAGGGAGATGTGCAGGGTTTTTGGGGCTGGACTGGCTGCTGGGGATGGTTGCTGCCTCCCAGGTAAGATCCTCTTAGGAGTTGGGTTTCAAGTAAGTGAAACCCAAATGTGTTTTTGTGCACTTGCTATGGCTTCTGCACAGCATGAATTCATTCTGGGCTTGTGCCTTTTCTCAGGGATTAACCCTCATCTCCAATACCCCTGGATCCAGCACCACAGGAATTTTGGCTCAGCACTTTGCATGATATTTTTGCATATTTAGAAACTGCAATAAACTCAAGAGGTGATGGCAGCCATGTCCCCACCCCTACCCTCACATCTGCTCCAGCTTCTTCCCAACACACTGCTCTGTGCCCTGGCTCATGAGTCCAGGGCTATGCTGCAAATGCAGTTAAGACCCAGATTTATGGTGCAGGCTGTGTCAGAAAGTGTGAGGGAAAATGTTAGTGGATGTAAACCAGCTGTAACAAAGCCTGTGCCTGTGCCTGCGCTGCTCAGCACCTCTGCCAGCTCCCACCAGAACTCCTCAGCCCACTCTGATGCATCTCACCTGGGGATCCCACCCATTATTGCTTTAATTAATGAACTGATAATTTAATTACTACATTTAATCAGAGTAAAAGAATTAAACAAGATTTGCTGCATGCAATGGAGAGAGTATGATCAATAGCTGATGCTCCTGTTATATTCTTATTCCTCCTCCTTATGTTTCTAAAAAGCACTTGGTCCATTTTAGAAGCTTCCCTATTTCCAAAACATGCTTTAATGTGGCACCTTATACCCAAACTGAAACTGGTTCTTGATAGTCCCTGATTCCAAATGGGAAAGAAAGTTTTAGGAAATCCATGGAAATTTATTTTAAAGTAATAGTAATCTATTTTGGTGCTTTTGCAGTTCTGGACCCATCTCTCATTATTCTTTCATTAATAAAAAAGTCCTATTTTATCCCCAAACTGCCTCTCTGATTCACGAGATGCAGCACCTCCCCTCGTCCCCTAATGAGCTGATTAATGAGGGCACAGCAGCAAGGAAGCAAATCTGGCTGTGTGGTGCAGGCAGCTCCCAGGGCTGCCTTTGACCTGTGACTTTTTATATGACTTCTTGTGGTTTGAGTGAAGGTGGAAAGCTCTGAGCTGTGGTAAGCTTTTCCTTCAGTGGGGGAGCAACTCTATTTCCTGCCTTATATCTGTATCACGTGCTGCACAAGTGACCTACATTCCTCCTCCTCATCCCCGCTCAAATTCGGAGAGAAAAGCATCTCTTCCAACAACCACAACACCCAAACCAGCTGGTTCACAGTTCTGGGAGGACCAATATGCACTTTGGAACCCACCATCTATCTTCTGGAGAAAGGAATCAGCCCTTGGTTTCCCAAGGAAACAGATGAAAATGATACAGGACTGGGATTTCCATGGAGGATGTGCTTGCCTTGGAGGAAAATGGTGCCATTTGTCTCAGCAATGCTGATGCCCTCCAGATGTGTGCCCATCAAAGTGTGGGCTGGGGGCTTCCTGTCATCTCTGCCCTCTGTTTTTGGGGGGTGTTTAGTCCAACCCTCTGACATGAGCAGGGACACTTTTCACTAGACCTGGTTACTCCAATCCCTGTCCAGCTTGACCTTGGACACTTCAGGGATGGGGCATCCACAGCTTCTCTGGGCAGCCTGTGCCAGGGCCTCACCACCCTCACAGGTACCTCAGCTGCTGTCCAAGATGCACAGAGCCATTTGTTTCCATAAAATGACATTTCCAGAAATATATCCACAGCACTCAAAAGCTTCTCTTCCTTTCTATTTGTATTTGCTTGGACAATAAGCAAATAAATGTTTGTGGTTGCTGGGGGCTGTATCATTCATCCTTTAGCCAGGCAATAAGCCAAAAGGGTGTGCAAAATACTCCTGAAATGTGAATTTCTATGGCTCTTGTGCTGCCAGGAATGGCGTTTCCAGGAGCAGGTGTTGGTAAACACCAGCCAGCCCCCCAGGCCATTTTGGGCCACGCCATAGGGTGGGGGTCCGAGCACAGTGGCACTCACGTAGTTGTCTCTGGCAGACCAGCCGGGGTAGAGCTGCATGTGGAGCTGCCGTTCCTTGCGAGCCAGTTCGTAGTACTTGGCCTGTTCCTCTCGGGACAGCGCGTGCCACTGCAAGGACAGAGAGCAGTGAAGCACGGCCCTGCTGTCCCCTCCCAGCCCAGCCCACCACGGCCACCCCGCCCCAGGACATATCCAGCCACGGGATAACAGCATCCAGATTTGAAGCTGATGCTTGTAATGTCCTTAATAGAAGCTGTAAGGGACAGGGATGTGGCACTAGGTGATGACACTGGGCCCTGTGAGCTCTTACCCTCCTTCCCAAGATCTGGTTGATGGCAGCACTCTCTTTCAGGGTGCACTCCGCGATGACTTTTGCCCGCATCTCTTTCATATACAACATGAAAGCGTTCAGGGGCTTCTTAATAGTGGGCTTCTTGGCTTCCTTCTCTCTCTTTGGTTCTGGTTGAGGTTTCCTTGGTGGGACAAAAGGAGGGGCTGTCAGCATCAGAGCCAGCAGAACACTCAACCCCAAAACAGCCCAACAGCACGAGCAGGTGGGGGGCCCGAGATTTGCTCCTCAGATGCACAGCTCAGCGTTCATCCATCCTGCCCCCATGTGAGCACTGAGAGTGACAAATGAAATGGGTGTTGAGGTGCTGCCACTGCTGAGCCAGCACTCCCCACTCACATGTTTCGGTCGTAGTGCTCCATCTCTTGCTTGCCGGAGTGGGGCACGATGGCGGGGTGCGGGATGCCGGTGGTGTGCATGCCAGAGCCCAGCATCAGCGGGTGAGTGAACCTGCAAGGGAGAGCGGGTGAGCCGAGCCCGAGGGCAGCGCCAGGCCGGGCACGGCGGGGCTGCAGCCGGGCGGTGTCCCTCGGAGCGCTCTGACGGGCAAAGCAGACGGGAAGCGAGGACACGGAAAGCTGCGGTGCTGCCAGGCTGGCGGGGGCAGGCAGTGCCCACCACCCCTGGGGCACCCTTGTGGCATGGCTGGTCAAGCCGTGGGCACATGGATGGGACGGATTTGGTGCCATAGCGAGAGGACCCGCCTGCAGCAGGAGCCAGCCTGGCCGAGATCAAGGGTGCTTTCACCCAGCAGTTCCAGCTGCTCACATCCCTATTGGTGCAGTATCTCATTAGCACTGCAGAAAGGAACAACAAACTCAACCTGGGGTTTGGATGGGAGAGATTAGGACCACCCTGCACCTTTCTTTTAACAGACTAAGTCTGAACATGAACCCTACTGCAACTCTAGGAGGTGCACCTTGCCTAAGCAATGCTCTCCACAACATGGGCTGAGATCACGAGAGGTCTCATTAGCTCTCAGGCTTCATTAGCTCTCTCCGGAGTTTTGGAGGACAAAGCCAGCAAAGTCAGCTTTGCCAAGCTTGCCACTTTAAGACTGCAGCTTGAGATGGCAGAATTGCCCATGGGAGATGAACTGTTCATTAGATATGCTGGCACAAAAAGAAAAGCTGTTTAATTTAATCCACCAGCACAGTCTGATCCTTATCTGACCAGGTGTACTTTCTCGGCTGCAGCAGTGCTGCAAAATCCACCCCAAAATTCTGCAGGCAGGAGCTCGGGGAGGCTGCTGGGGCTCCACAGGGAACCGTTAGCTCCTCTTGCCTTCCCTTTGGAAGCTGTGCATGGGTGATACCTTGCAAGAAAGGAGGGCTGGCAGCACTCCCTCCCCTCTTCTGCAAGGCTAAGGGGCTCCATCAATCAAGGGACGCATGGATCAGGTGTTGTATGGATCGAGGGTTGCATGGATCTGGGTTTCTGTGTGGCTGAGGGCTCACCTGAGCAAGGGTTTGCATGGTTTTCCTGTGGGAAATCTCCACTAACAGCTCTTCAGGACAACATGAAGCAGAAGCAAAAGCTAGTGTGACCCTGGCATCCCTATGGAGCCGGGAGGGCTTTTCCCAGCAGCACGCCTGGAAGAGCTGGGCTCAGTGATTCCCATCCACAGGGGATGCATTTTGCTCATCCGAAGGCAGAAGCTGTGTTTGTATCTCACAGAAATTACTTGTTCTGATGGGAGGGCAGCAAATCACTGCCCCCTCCTGTCCTGCTTTTACAGCTAAGACCAAGTGAACCAGATCCATCTCTGCAGAGCAAAGCAGTGGTGGCAGCAGGGACACATTCAGGATCAGTGACACAGAGCAAAGTCCTGAGCAACGGATTCCACCCCATTTTCCCAGTGCTGAGCTGAAGGCTGGAGTTTTTGACTCTTTAGAGCACTGCTGAATAAAACCCAACCGCTGGGCATCCTTCATCCTCAGTATTCCCCTGAGCACCCTTTGGACCAGACACTGCCTAAACGCTCCTTCTCTCCCCGTGGCTGCCCTGGGGAGGGTGCGTGTCTGTCCCTGCGTGGCTGTGGTCTGCTGCAAGCTCCTGCTGCACAAACTGCAAGCTGCACGACCAGCTGAGCTGCCCTGTCTGACACAGCTCATACTCACCTGGAGAAAGAAGCCCCAGCAGAAAGCGCTGACGAGTACGGCTGTCTAAATCCACATGACGGGAGCGGATAGACAGACTGGCTCTGCCTGGGATCAGGAAGAAAGAGTCTATAAAGTATCCACAGCTGCGTGGTATTTCCTAAATACCCTTTGCTAGCGGGACTCAGAGCACTGATGCCCCTGGTTGGGTGGACACTCGGTGTCCCTTAGGCGTGAGGGGCAGTGTGGGCTTTGGATGTTACTTTGAGAGAACCTGGGCCTTCCTACAAAGGCTGGATCCAATTCTGACCCCTTCTGCCCCTGGTACTGACTAACGCTGCAGCTTTGAGTTTACCTGGTAACAATGCAAAGCGCAGAGGCGTGCTGAAAAATCAGGAGATGTGGCTATTGCACAGAAGAAGTTGCTCAAAAGAGCACAGTGTGACAAAAAATAAAAAATTAAAGCCTGCTCAGATTCTCTGTGTGATGTATAAGAAGCTGCACCAGGAGGATGAATATGAGGAAAACTACCTTACTGTGCAGTGACCAAGCACTGGAACAGGTTGTCCAGAGAGGGTGTGGAGCCTCTCTCACTGGAGATATCCCAGGACTGTCTGGACACAATCCTGTGCCATGTGCTCTGGAACAACTCTGCTTGAGCAGGGACATTGGACCTGCTCTGTGATGCTGTGATGCCCCAGTCACAGGAGACTCCTGGAGCCTGGAGAGAAGGTAGCTACCCTGCCTTTGTGCTTCAGGAATGCTCTGATTTCCTCAGCACACCCTTTTAAGGACTCCCATCAACTTTAAAGAAGCCAAAAGCTCAGTCCTGCATTCTTTTTGAAAGCTGTTTCATACTGGGGACCATACATGTATCAGACCTGGGGCTGGAAATTATTTTTGAGATAGTAAAATAACTATGCAGGAAGTTCCTTGTTGTTCCCAGCAAGGGAACCCCCACATTTTCATATGGAAATAGCTCAAAAATACCTTGGATTGTTCTGCAAACCTTCCAAAAGATGCTTCTAGCCTAAAACTGCACATGGAAACAGAGATTATAGAATTACAGAATGGTTTATCTTGGAAGGGACCTTAAAATCACAGAGTGGTTTAGCTTGGAAGGGACCTTAAAGCTCATATTATTCCAACCCACCCTGCCATGAGCAGGGACATCTTCCACTCGACCAGGTTGCTCCAAGCCCCATCCCACCTAGCCCTGAACACTTCCAGGGATGGGGCACAATGGGGTGCTGGAATTCAGGCTGGTACTCATGCTCTTCTGGCCAGGCTGCACAGAGCTGTACCTAAACCCAGGACCAGCTGTTTTCAGCTCTAATGATGAAAAAATTCCACAAAAAGTCCATTATCATTAAATGTGGTGCACCGTGAAGGACTCAAATCCTGGATGCCTGGGATTTTTCAGGGCTAAAGAGAAGTTTCTGCCCTGAAGAGGAATAATGCCAGTGGGGCAGCAGCCAGGCCCCAGAGCTGCACTGAGCAGGAAGGAGGCTCCTGTTCCTGCTGCTGTCTCAAATCCTCCTGGCTTGACTGAAATCTGCAGGGTCTGTCTGCAGGAAAGGCAGCCAGGGCTGTTTACACCCTGGCAGGCAGAAGCCCTCTCAGACCCCTCAGATGTTGGTGGGTATAAACACACCAACAAACAGCCAAGTGCTGCTGCACACCGGGAAACTGAAACAGCCTTTGAAGTTGGAGGCGGCTGCCCCAGGGCCGAGAAAACACTTGGAGCGAATCCAGAAGGGACCTGGGTTACTCCAGAGGCCAGGGCAGTGGGATAGGAATGGAGTCAGGCACTTGCAGCTTCATCCAAAGTCCCTCTGACATGAAAACTAAAGCAACTGCAAAATCAGTTCTTGATCGTTGGGAGTGCACAGTTACAGCCCATATATTGGAATTACTGGTCTGGGTTGGAAAGGACCTTAAAGCTCATCTCATTCCAAGCTCCTGCCATGGGCAGGGACACCTTTCACTAAATTCAGCTGTTCCAAGCCCTGTCCAACTGACCATAACCATTAACACCTCCAGGAATGGGGCTGCTGCAATGTCTCTGGGCAATCTGTGCCAGGACCTCACCACCCTCTGCTAACATCTGATCTAACCTTCCTCTTTTAGTCCAAAACTGTTCCCCCTTGTCCTGTCACTATCTGCCTATATAAAAAGTCCCTCTGCCTCTTTTTTATAAGCTCCTTTTGTGTATGGGAAAGGACTCTGAGGCCTCCCTGGGCCAAGCTGGACAACCCCAGCTCTCTCTGCCTGTTTCCAGAGGATCTCCTGGTGATGGGGGTGGCTCAGAAAAAGGCTGTGGGATGGTGGAGGAGAGGCTGCCCTGGCACCACCGCAC